GACCAATTCTGGTCGCTTTTCCTTGACCGCTGCATTCAATTTGTCCAGTTGCTAACATTCACGGATAATAAAAAATAACACAATAATAATAATAATAATAATTTTATAATATAACATTTACGGATATCATAAAAATGGGAGTGAGAGACATCTATAACTGATATCGGCAATTACTTAATTGCCAACCCAATATATTTCTAGTCCGTGAACGAAAAATTGATGGAACCCCGCCGACGAAGGTCTCCGCGAAATGGGATGTCCACGGGGATGATTCCGTGCGTTTAAGAAGCGGAAAACGCTACCGGGTCCGGCGCCACCGAAATGTTTTGTTGGCCCGTATGCGGGTATGCGTGTCTATTTGAATCCTTCCGGTCGTTGTTCGATAGGCTCCGGCAACCTAACTTCGAACTTATTTAAATCGGGCCGAGGTCACTGTGCTCGTTCGCTTCGAAATAAGCTGCCGGCTAGTTCGCGGCATAGCCTTTCTCTCTCAATGGGTCAACCTCGAACGAGAGCAACTCGTCCCACGGTTGTCGAGAAGACGAATATGATAAGCCTGCTTGTCGCAGCTTAGAAACTCTGCCTCGATCGCCTCTGTCTGCGAATCTTTCTACAAAGACGATTTTTTTCTTTATTTCAGCAGATGAACGACCACGGAGAGGTTATTTTGCAAATCTAGGGTATAACTGGAGTGTACGGAAGGTATAGTCATTGTTCTTACATACGAGATCATTCTCGTGCATTATGCTCACAACCTGATATAACGCGACATCGAAATTTCTATATTTTCAGAACACAATCTTTTAACAGGGTTCAAGGGTGCGAGTCAAGGGTCGGGCTTTACTTACGCACCCAGCGGGAGAGAACCAGTGTAGTTTGAAAAGATTCACTTTTTAGAAGATATTTAATGTTTTCGAAACTGACAATAAGATTTTGCTAACAAGTATTCAACGAGGATTTTTAGGATTCCAGACGAGTTTCCAACAAATATGTATTATTATTATTGCTTTATTATTTCGGCCTCACGGCTAAGAAATTGGACTTGGTTTAGACAAACCTAACGCTACAATTCTAGCTTAGCCTTTCACTCTTTTGCATCTACTCTCATTCATCACTCTCATTCTCATTCTTACTAGTTATATCTATTGCCTACTATCAAATATATAACAAAATTTACAAACATAGATTTTAGAAAGGTGTTAACCCTTTGCACTCGAGTGACGACTCTGAGGCAACGTTAAAAATTGCTACACCATTTTCAAAAGAATTTTCACATTATTAAATTTGTCTGTATGCGATCAATTGTCAAATAATAGAAGTCTTTTATAAGCACACACATCCAATTTCGTGTGTATCAAATAGAAACGATTTTATACCAAATGGGCATATTATAGAGGTCGAAACGAACGTCTACATTTTCGCGTTAAAATAATCTCGAGTGCAAAGGGTTAATAATACCTGTCCCGCATGTAATGCGTTAAGAACGAGTGTACGATTCGGTAAATTACTGGTCTCGAAAGGACAACGTTAGACGACAACGAGAGAAAGTAACCGCGCGATCGCAACTGACAGATAAATTTCTCTCTTGCGAAGAGAATCGATCGATCGAATTACAAACTGAAATTGCAACACCGGAAATTTTTATTACATCGCTCGAGTGTAATCGTTCACGCCGCTCTTGTCATTGGCACTAATAGAATAGAGTATAAATTATCATTATCGTGTCGCGTCAAGCGTGTGAAATACACGTTAATTCGCTGATTAATCGATAATCGGTGGATCGTGAAGTATCGATGCTGTGTTTGTCACTTCAGGAAACGGTAAAGCAAGAACTCCGATTAATCGTTCTCTTCGTTATTTTTATGACAATGACATTGCGTGTCAAAATAAATGACGGAAGCATTTCCTGCAAGCCGCCGCGGCACGATATTCGCGGAATTTGATACTTTTCTACGTTACATTTTATTTGATATTTTATGGACGAAACATTTTTCAACTGATGCGGATATTAATCTACCGACAACTAACCCTGACAAAGAATTGAGAATATACATAGATTTATATTTACCGTTACCGGGACACATACAGGGTGTTTCGTTCGAGTAGTAGATACGAAAAAAATGTACAGTAAATTCTGGAGAATTTGGGAAAAGCAGATTCGATTATTCGAGTCTCGCGACTCGTTTTCATAGTTATCGATTATGAATAATTATAAAAACAAGCCGCAAGGCTTGCAATAAATCGAATAGTCGTATGTCCTCGTCCCAAATCGTCCATTTCTGTGGACAATCTGAGCGTCAATTAGGGAGAATTTACTGTATATACAAAAGTCGTTTAGCACACGAAGCTATCTTACGTAGTATTAACAATTCTTGTATTCATACAATGGTGGAGGATATTTTAAGGTCAACTTGATTTCTCTAAATCAGACCACAGATTTTCTTATTCGCATTACAACCGTGCTAACTACTTTACATCCTGTAAAAATCCACTGTAAAAGTCTAATGGAACAAATATATCCCAATTTTCAAAAACACAGCCTCCAAAATCATTTGCAGCTATCCCCAGCTTAGTATTATGAATTTCCAGCGGAGAACTAACCAAAATATCGATACAAAAAGCTCGAGTTGAAGGGTCAAATAATGAAGACGTGTTTTATTAAACTCGCACGGAGAGAAGCGTAACAACTTGATTTCCCGCGAAGTGACCGACCGGTTCGGCTAAACGCTCGGCCCCCGCAAGTTTCCGCGAAACACGGATAAGAGATCGCGTCTCGTACAGCAACACGTTCGATCTGAATCCTTCGTACGAGCCTAAAATCGTTACCGTAATCGACTTACCTTTGTTCTGAAATTCAGGCGGGTCCTCGACGGCCGCGTTTGCACGGCGCGCTCGAAGTAGTATCAGCAAACTTGTCAGAAACACGTGTCCCGACGTGCACCGCATCTCGGAACAGCGGTCGAGAATCAGGTGTTTCGAGCTGACGCGTGAAACTCCAGGCCAATCAGCGGCGCCGCTGCGTCCAGGAGCATCCAGGATCTCTCGAGATCGAGATCGTGATCGAGACGTTGGCCCGCATCCGAATCAATGGATCCCACAATATTTTAAATCGCGATTCCTCGGGCACGCAGTCACCTCGACGCAACGGAACGACGAGCAAATCATTCTCAAACGCGACCCGACCGACACCGAAGCTCGCTCGCCGATCTTTATCCACCTGTTTACCATCGACAACGTCTAGCGTCTTTGTTCAGACACTCTCGACGACCCTCGGCGAAGAGGATCGTTCGACTGACGGCGGCCGGACTCCGTTTTCTATAAACTTCCTCTCGACTTTTTCTCGGGCCGGGCCGGCACACATGCTCGTTATTAGTCAAACCGCGAGCCGAAACGACGTCTTTTGATTAACAAAACGAGCCGACCAGTTTTTTTTTTCGCGTCTAAGCGACACTCGAACCCGGCTTTGTCCTCCTTTTCAGCCGGCCAGGCTTTCTTCGCGACCTTTGAATTTCTTTCGCTTTGTCCGAATTTTTCTCGCGGATCCAATTGTCTCGCTCGTTTCGCGGATTCCTCTCTCCGCCCGGTGCGCCTCCGACCGGCGTTCTTCGCCCGAGCAATTTCAACTTTGATCTCTCGAAAACCGCTTCTCTTTCTCTCTCTCTCTCTCTCACTCTCTCTCTGCAATTCTCTCGTTCTGTTCGTTTTTCTGCTCGCTCCCTTCGTTTGTTATTCTTAGCAGCTTCTTTTCCCGCGTCGCGGAGCTCGCTCCGACTTCGCAGCACCGATCAGGTGGCACGATCGCGACCTTGTTCCTTCCGACGCATCCGGAACTTCCTGCGACTTCGATGCACTTCCGTCGTCGGCGTCGGAATCGAGCGAAATCGTAATCGTTCGAAGACCGCGCGCGGCTCTTCAAATATCTCGTCGCGTTTCGTTCGTTTTGTTTTCCGGGTTTTAAGCGCGACGTCTCTCTGCTGTCCAGATGGGCTGGAGAGATTTCGGGCACGTTGCTCGAGGTGTCTCGGATAGAGAGGGATTACGTGCGATCCGCGACCGTTCGAGCCATGGGACCGTCGCGTGGCGAGATAGTCGTCGTCGGCAGCGACTGCCACGGAACTAAAACCAAAACCGAAGACACGCGTGTAGTTTTCCCCCCACTCGTTCGCACCCTCCTCGTACGGCACACGCACGCTTCACCCGGCTTCGAGAACACGCGTTTACAAACACACGGGCAAACGCGTGTGCACACGCGCCACCGTTTACACGCACCCGCGCTCGTTTAACGACGGATGCTCGAAATGCAGTCGGACGCGCGTAAAGCGCATCCCGCGGAGATGCACCGTTATGCACCCGCGGTAACGATGCACGCCGGGTCTGGATCTAGGTGAAGAAGATAATACCAGAAAGTACGGAAATACATATAAGCTGTTAAATGGATGGTCGGGTAATTAGAGGATCATCAACGTAACCGGCGCCGCGTTCATTTTCGGTTGTCCATCTACGAAATGAACGAGAACAAAACGAAACGAGGTTAATCTTCGTTGGATTTCCTCATCCAGCAGTCAACTTTTAAGACGAGAGCTTCGAAGAAACCGTTCGAATATGGATGATTCCCAGCAAGTTCTTTTGCAACGTGAAACATTGATGAAACTTTTCGTCGCTTCCTATAAATTCTCTTCCCGTCATATTTCATCGTCGATTACCGAATAAAGTAATCGGCTACATCGGTCTGGCATTTTTTTCCTTTGATTTGGAACAAAAAATAAAACGGAGTGTTCTGCATCATATCAACCTAAATCCTATTTAAGGTTGACACGCGGCTCTGAAGACAAAGGAGTGGCACTTGCCTAAAATCGTTGCTTATTTCTAAATAATTTGGAGCCGCGAGTTACATCATTCTTCTTGCAATTTTTTTTCAATGGGATTTAGGTTCATACGACGCGTAGTTTTATTACGAGAAAAACTCCGATTTATTTTCTGTTCTAGATCAAAGGAAAAAGATGCCGATAGACAGCGTCGACCGGGAGGTTCATGGAGAACATAATTTATTATTTCAGTAAACGTAAATGAAATGTAACGACAAAAATTGTATATGTATCTTGAAATGTCAAAGAATATGTACGGAAAGTGTCTAAAGGTTTCATCAATGTTTTATGTTTTTAAAAAAATTCCCGAGAGTCGTTCTTATTTTAATGATTTATATTTGTGTATGGCTGCCCCCTTACATCGTTGGCTGCTTTGGTTCGGATCAATAAAACGATTAACGTGCAGTTCGAGGTTCGATCCTTAAAAGATTGATCATAGGTCTAGTAATAGATTAAGCGGAATCGTCAAAATATGACTCCTCTAAGGGTAGAGCCAGTCCTGCTGCCACGTCATACATTACTCATTCCAATGACGCAATCCGCCACGTGAAGTGAGTCGAATCAAAAGAACAATTTCAGATTTCGCTAGTGTCTGCAAGATGAAAGATGAGACAAAAATAATCGCCACGATGATAATCCAGGCTTTCCTGTTCTTATTACGCAAAACGAGTCGTTCCGTCTTCGTGGAACTCCACCGGGCGATCGTTTGACAGGGAACACGTTTAAAATCAAGTTGACGCTGTGCACGCTGTTTACTTAGAATTATGACACGTTGCATGATATTCGGCAAATTTATTGGATCATAAATATTTTCCGGCGGATCCGTTGCAGGTGGCAGAACTTCTAAGTGGTCTAGACGGTGGATATTTATTTATAAGTTCTCGCGTTTTGTATCGATATTCTTATTTCGTTGTTACGACGACGATGAGACATAATGAAGCATAATTAAGTCAAATGATGACAGCAACGAAGTTTTGTCATTTTCCGATGAGATTGTGGTTTCCGGTCAACGGACGTCTAATCGATTAGAGATCAAGCATATTGGTGATTGTCGGTTAATTACCACTGTAAATAAGCGGTTGCTTTAACCGGTTAACCGGAGAATTAGCTTTCGTGCAATTTGTCAGACGGTGGAGATATTTTTCTTCGCTATGAGAAAGTTATATTATCACGCATAAAGCAACATAATAAATCGCTTTTCGCTTGTTGGTCATTTCATTTGACACGATATTTTATGACATATTTGGAAAATATATAAATCAAACATTTTCAACGCGTACGAAGAATCAATTAAATAAATTAAAGCGATTATGTCGTGGTTGAAAAATATATACATTATATATCGATGAGCGAAACAGTACATCTTTCAAGTGGTTGAATCCGTAATTTCACCCTCTATAATAATATAAATAAAATAAAATACGTTTCTATTTATAATGAAGACCGGCAATCTTGAAATCTTATAACCTTGAGAAGAATTTGAATCCATCAACGAATTAACCAATTTAAATGTCCCACTTTATATGTTCTGTTGTTTCTTTAGTACATCCTGACACCCTTAGTCTACTACATATAAAAAAGGATACGATGGTGTTTGAAACTAGACCGTGCAATTCCACAGATTACTTTGAAAAAAATTTCCACGACGGAAGAAGTCGTCAGATCGATTAAAGTTGTCTTCCCGATATGACGAAATATTTCGCCATATCCGCTTAACGGTTCTCCTACTTTCTAAATAAACAATATTGTTCACTGGCGCGGAAAAAGGACCCGAAGCCATCGGTAATAATGGTGTAATAAAATCAGTAGCGCGAAGTGCTTTTTGTCTTGCCGAGAGAAAGCTGTTAAGTCGCAAAGTCGCGTCGCCGAAATCGGATGGAAATCAATTTGCGAGGATTTGTGTTTCGCGCAGGGTGTCTATGTGTGCCAGAAGATTCGATAAGACACCCATTGACTTAGCGACAAACTGTCGAGGGTGCGCTCGGAAAGCTTCGAATGGAAACGCATGCGTTACGCATCAGGGTGTGTGCAGGCTCTCTCCGGCGCCCTCGGCGACTTCGAATCGAAGGGGGATGGGGTACCGGGCACGGTGTGCGCCTCGGTGGAATAACGCGAGCCGAGTTCCTGGCGTATCATCGTACAGACGATTACGCAAGCGTAGGGGGCTAGAAATGCTACATGGCTGTCGAGGGTGGAGTCGGCCGCGGGGGCCACTGGGGTCACGAGGGTCAGAAATGCGCCCTGAAAGGACAAACGTGTCGGCCCAATGGCTGCGTACGGTTTGATGGATTGCTCGATGGTTACGCAGCAGGCCGTGCAGACCGGACTCGTACGTTCGGACGCTCGTTTCTATTAATTATCGTAACACTTTTCTCCGACACGCCGCATACATTTCGGCGAAGCTTTTCGCCATGTCACCTGTTCGCCTTTTGTCGAACGGTCAGCCGATGATAAGCGATCACCGCGCATTTTTTCTCGAGAAGTCTGCCGATTCTTTTACGGTGTAACTTTCCGCGTCCGGAAGTCTTCATCTTGAAGTACTTCTACAAATTTTTTCATTCAGAAATATTAACAATTGCGAAGAGTACAACAACTTTTTCCGAGGTCGTTTTTTGGAGTCGATGGTTGCAGCTTGTACAGCTTCGCGAATTTTTCTTTAAAAAGCTTGTGAACTTCCGCGAACAAGATTTTCCGTGTCTACAAGACCACGCGTCGGAGCCGTCTACATAATTTTTTCATGGGGAAATATTTATCATTTTCCGAGGTACAGCCATTTTTTTAAGGATCTTTTTAAGGATAGAGTAGATTATATGGCTTTCTTCGGAAAAGTAGATTGCATGGTTTTTTTCGATAGAGTAGATTAAAATGATATAACTTTTTCAAAAATGGAGTAGATAAATTGAATTTTTCGGAAATGTTGGAGGAACTAGTTTATTGTGCAATGACTAAAATACTTCTTTCTGATTTTACTATTACTTGGTATAGCAAAAGAAAACAATAAAAAAGAAAAAGAGAAAAGAATGAAATATAGTTTCTTCGACCTTCTTATCCGAATCTATAATGAAAATTTTAAAAATGGTTTCTGTAGATCTACGTAGGCGTATTTGTTAATCTATTTGCGTAAACCGAAGGTTATCTCATCCGTAAATAAATAATTCAGAATAAATAATAATACAGACGTTGAAAGATGTCAAAATTTCTAGATTTTTCACAGCATTTGATTTTCATTGAAAACTGTGATTTTCGCTGTTTTTAATTGTTTCATAACTAATAACAGCGCTCTTATGATTTCGATGAAATTTTCAGCATGCATGTACGTTGCAAATTTTTGTTGTAAGTTCGGATAAAAAAGTTTAAAACAGTGAGATTTTTATCCTTTTTTTTAATCCAAACAATTGCAATTTCAAGAAAGAATTTTATAGGCATTGCCTGCGTAAAACTAGTCTCTCTAACCTCTTAAAAATGTACAAAACATACCGTCCACTTTTAAAATAGTTATTCTATTTTAAAAAGCGTCGAGATATCAACGCGAGCCGCTGTACGTGGAAATTAATAATCTTCGCTAACGTTTCCGTCGTATTTTCACTATAAGCGATGTTCCAGTCTGCGAAATAAAATTCTCCTTTCTCTCTGTTATGCGAATATTGTAATAGCAAAATTAAAAATAAAAGTATATTTATTGTATATACTAAAGTTGTCTCTGTGACATTTCGAAAAAAATATACAAGTCGTTCCGTTCGCTTTGGAAACATTTATTCCGTTTTAAAAGGTGATCGAATATTAATGCGAGTCATTGTATGTATTTCTAAAGCTTCTCCGCTTATTTCGGTACACATTGATTTATATTCCGCGGATAATTGTATTCGTGGGGAATAAATTAAATGAATAATGGTTGCAGAGCTGTTAGAACGTACAGCGGGCAACATTTGCGGGCCCGAAGAATGCTCGAGCATCTCGAGTGCGCTAGGTTCGCGCGATGTTATCGTGGTTCACAGAGAAGCATTATACGCACGGCGTCTCTAATGCGGTTGTACGGTTTGCGGAGGATCTATTTTCGGTATCCCCGCGTTTCCCTCGTCGGATACCGACACCCTCTTTCTGACCGACCGACCGCGCACCCACGCGAACGCGCTCACGGATCAAGAATCGCGAATCTTTCTTTTTCTTCCTCCGACCGCGCTACAGAATCTCGTTTTGCATCTCTGAACTGCGGATTCTCTGTGCTCGGGGCAGCCAGGATTGTTTGAAACCCGCTGAAAATATTCGTTGACCGACCTTGCACTTTTTCAGCGGCGAACTTGTGCATCTTGAACTTCGTTTTTAGGAAGGAGTCGGGGCTGCGGTAGATGTTCAATACGGTTTCTTTGTGCGCGAATGCCTCCGTTTAACCTTGTGTGACCTTCAAGGTCATTGCATCGTAAACGAATGGCCGTTATGTCGTGAACGAATTAGTTTTAGCGCACGTTTTAACATGAAATCGAAATATACGTAGCATTCTGTTCAAAAAATTGAAGGTTACCTCAGTTTCCCAAAAAATAATGCAGGTGAAGAAAGACACTCTTGCATTGTTCGCGAGGAAGGATATAACTTCTTCCGCTTTCATTCTTTGTCAATGTTTGCTATCTGCAAGAAATACGTGGACACCTTGCATATACAGAGTGTCCTAAAATTATTGTATTATACAAGTGAGAAATGAGGGGTTCCTGAGATCATTTGAACTTTTTCCTTGGCGAAAACGCAATCCGCGGCGAAAAACAGTGACCAATGAGAGGCGAGATCAGCTGGCGCGAAGCGGCCGAGCCAACGAGCGTAACTGGACTTCGACCGCCTCGTGCCAGCTGATCNAAAAATATACAAGTCGTTCCGTTCGCTTTGGAAACATTTATTCCGTTTTAAAAGGTGATCGAATATTAATGCGAGTCATTGTATGTATTTCTAAAGCTTCTCCGCTTATTTCGGTACACATTGATTTATATTCCGCGGATAATTGTATTCGTGGGGAATAAATTAAATGAATAATGGTTGCAGAGCTGTTAGAACGTACAGCGGGCAACATTTGCGGGCCCGAAGAATGCTCGAGCATCTCGAGTGCGCTAGGTTCGCGCGATGTTATCGTGGTTCACAGAGAAGCATTATACGCACGGCGTCTCTAATGCGGTTGTACGGTTTGCGGAGGATCTATTTTCGGTATCCCCGCGTTTCCCTCGTCGGATACCGACACCCTCTTTCTGACCGACCGACCGCGCACCCACGCGAACGCGCTCACGGATCAAGAATCGCGAATCTTTCTTTTTCTTCCTCCGACCGCGCTACAGAATCTCGTTTTGCATCTCTGAACTGCGGATTCTCTGTGCTCGGGGCAGCCAGGATTGTTTGAAACCCGCTGAAAATATTCGTTGACCGACCTTGCACTTTTTCAGCGGCGAACTTGTGCATCTTGAACTTCGTTTTTAGGAAGGAGTCGGGGCTGCGGTAGATGTTCAATACGGTTTCTTTGTGCGCGAATGCCTCCGTTTAACCTTGTGTGACCTTCAAGGTCATTGCATCGTAAACGAATGGCCGTTATGTCGTGAACGAATTAGTTTTAGCGCACGTTTTAACATGAAATCGAAATATACGTAGCATTCTGTTCAAAAAATTGAAGGTTACCTCAGTTTCCCAAAAAATAATGCAGGTGAAGAAAGACACTCTTGCATTGTTCGCGAGGAAGGATATAACTTCTTCCGCTTTCATTCTTTGTCAATGTTTGCTATCTGCAAGAAATACGTGGACACCTTGCATATACAGAGTGTCCTAAAATTATTGTATTATACAAGTGAGAAATGAGGGGTTCCTGAGATCATTTGAACTTTTTCCTTGGCGAAAACGCAATCCGCGGCGAAAAACAGTGACCAATGAGAGGCGAGATCAGCTGGCGCGAAGCGGCCGAGCCAACGAGCGTAACTGGACTTCGACCGCCTCGTGCCAGCTGATCTCGCCTCTCATTGGTCACTGTTTTTCGTTAATAACTCGCAAACGAAGCCGCGGATTACATTTTCGCTAAGGAGAAAGTTACGTCAAATGACCTCGGGCTTGTACAATAATTTTGGGACACCCTGTAGATGTTATATATCGTAACAAGAAACTTTTGTCGAGAGCAGTTGATTGATAATGATACTCGATTTCACGAAAATATATTCACCTACGGCCCCGTGCAACGAACTATTTGAAGAGCGCGATTTATATTCAATTTATTTCAAATATTTATGTTCAAATATTAATAACAATAATAATAGTAATAATAATTTTATTTATCAACGAGATAAACCCTTTGTCACAGTGAAGGAATAATAACGTACCAGTGACGCAAGGACGGATAAAATACAAAAATTTGAAACTAAAAAGTAATATCTAAAAGTTCGAGAAAAGGAAGACGAATACATTAAATATAATTTGATCATGTGAGCGGGGATGAAGACGAACAGCGACTAGCATAAACGGCAGAAAGCTTGAAAGACGCATAAGAATTACAAAAGAAATCCAGTTGATCGCAGAGTCGGTTTGAGACAATAAGTAAACGATTTAGTTTGTTAAAAAATCTACATATAACGCGTCCTGTATATGATTCTGGTAGAAAAAAGACAAAAAGTAAACGGTTCAGACTATTGCAGAATCCATAATGCGTTCCGGTAAAAAAAAAAGGAAAATATTCGAGAGATGGAGCGAGACAGGGGTTCGGATCGGATCGAATCAAATTTATTTATAAAATTCTCGAACGCGACCGGCTTAAAATAAATAACGGCTGGAAGGCCGGCCGAGGAACGTTGTTCGCGGCCGCACGACGAAACAGATAGAAAAATAGGAATCGAGATGCGTGCACGTCCGGCAGCCACGAAGAGATTGGCGGTCCGATGACGGAGGGGTTCGTTTAATGGCAGCTGCGACGAACACGCTCGTGGATCGACTGGAAAATTTCGCTCGATAGAGAGACGAAGGCCCGATTCGAAATCCCGTCAATGGACTCGTGTGATAAGGAACACGTGGCGCTGACGTTTTTTTCTTCCCTCCCCGGATCCCTCAGGATCGGCCGTTTTCGGGTCGGCCGTGGCTAATTGAATCGCGCCCTCCGCCCGAATCGAATCGAATGGGATCGGATCGAATCGAAACGGAATCGAATTACGAACGATCCGCCTATATCGCCGTTTCCGACGGACTAACATCGCGGAAAGGGGTAAACTGGCGTCGACGGTCTCCGAGAATGGGAGAAGGAGGAGGGTAAGAAGGAAGAGGGTGGAAGAGAGAAGGAAGAAGGGAACGGCAACAAAACGGGGCTGCCGCGAAGCTGTTTAGTTTAAAGAGGGCGAAAAAGCAGCGCTACGCAAAGAATAAATACCGGCCGGCTAGGAAAAGTTTCGAGTGGCCGAGTGAGCGCTCGAGCCGCGCCAGCCACGTTCAATTGTGCCTAACCAAGTGGACCAACTTCGGCGAGGTTCCTGCAATCAAATAAACGCCGCCGTGCCGGATAAAACGTATAATTCCCGCGATCGTTCGAGAAACGTTCGGCGAAAGCGTCTCGCGCGTGTTTCCGTCGCTCGTATCGCGATCCACGAAGAAAATCGCGGAACTTTCGGGTCACGATGTTGGGCCGTCGCGAAATCTTCGGCATCCGGTCGAGCTCACGATGCAACGTGGAACCGAAACGGCGATCGAAAAATATCAGGCCGATTTCGCATAAATATTAATGGCTCGGACACGTAGCCACCGGCCGTTGCGTATATCGCCCCGCGGTCGGATTAATATCGATTCGTTTCTATTCTCGTTAGTCACCGTCACGCGTTTCCTGTTTGCACGTTCTCCCGGAGCAAGGACGTGACACGTACGTCCGACTGAGTCACTAATAAGTGGAACTCTCTGCTTTCTGGAGAGTCGCAGGCCCGAGGTAAAACGATGAGTAACAGCTCGATACGATTCGCTGGTGTTCATCAACCTGTTTGCTTTTTTTTGGTGGCTGAAAAGTGCATCTCATCTCGAGAGAAAACAGCTTGCGTGCTCGGATTTGCAGGGGAGCTGTGACTTATGAGTTGATCGCGGATTTTGTGCATTTATCATAGAAATGGTTCGGCGAAATTCCAAACAATGAAAAAATATTAAAAGAATTTAAGAACATCTATGTATTATTCTCAACTCACGGAAATTATTGAAGGAAGAAAGCAATTTTTACTTGACTCGTCTTTGTTGCTGTTGATGCAGATAAGTTTTATTTTGCATAAAGATCCGCAGTATACTTATGAGAATGTTTTCAGTTGCGAAACTTGGAAGACGTGTTTCACCGATTTTTGATTTTCTCGGATTCATATTTGTCTGGTTTGAGATTCTTGGCTCGATGAAGGTTAAAACAATGCCTGAATGATGTTCTCCGATTGTTTAAATAAGTAGACGATCAATAATGCAATAATTAATAATGATGTTTCATTATCATTATTATGTTATTATAATTGAACTCGATTCAATTCAGTAACAAATAAAAAAGGAATCTGATCTGTTAAAAAAATATCAGAAGAAATAATTTTTTAATGTTCTTTACTCCTCCCCGATTAATTAGTTTTTCACATTTCATTATTTTACACAATAACTCATCAAATATTGTAATTTATACTATGAGAAAACATTTTGGAAGCTTGTGTTGTGTATAGATCCGCGCCTTATCCAAACGTCGTCTACTTTTAAGTGGAGAAAAGATTTCGATGGTATTCTAGGAACTTGAATAGTAAATAAGATAAATCAATAATAATTAGCGTTAAAACAATAACGGTTTTAAGACTATATTTATGAGATACCCGGTTAATCGGGTATTTCTGTTGCACATGCTTGTCTCGCGGGTACAGTAAATTCTCCCTAATCGACGCTCAGCTTGGAAACAAAAATAGACAATGTGGAACGGAGAGGTACGATTAATCGAGTCTTGCGACTCGTTTTTATCGTTGTTGACAATTGGTAACTACAAAAACGAGCCTCGAAGCTCGAATAACCGTACCTCCTCTTACCAAATTGTCCACTTTTGTGCACAATTTGTGCGCGAATTAGGGAGAATTTACTGTACTCGTCTACCCCGGTTCTCTAATTTGCAGACCAGAAGAAAATCAAAGTCCTCGTTGCCGACAGGTTATACCAGTGGTTCGAACCCGTGCAGGACTAACCCGGAACAACAGAAAACAAGTCCCGCGTTTACTTGGTTCAAGCGCCACCTGAACAGCTGTACGGTATTTGTGCTATTAAAGAAGAAAACTCGCGGAGATTGCCCGCGGCGGGACCTCCGGGAGTAAACACCGTAAGAGGCAATCAACCCGACCGCTCATTTGGAGTCCCCTTGAAGACGGTAAACCCATGGTCCGTCGACTTGAACTGCTCGATTGGAATTAGCTGCTATGTCGTTAACCGCGGCAAAGCCACTCGAAATTTTGATTCGGTCGGCCCGAGTCGATCCGAGACGTGCCCTTGGACCGAAGTTGGAGAGGAGAGGAGAGCGAAGACGCCCGGGACCGGAAGCGTCGCATTCGTTGCCCGCATGGGACGGACGATTTATCTCGCAGGAAATCAAGAATGGGCATTCGCTCGCGGGTGTCCGTGAACTCGGGCCGCGGTTAACGATCCGCCGGTGTTAATTAAAAAATATAGAGGGCCGTATTTGTCAGCGGTGGAAGGGTGTTATGACATTCGTCGGACAGGACGTAGGATTTATATCCGCGCACGGTCGCCACCGCTTAACGGTTAATCGCTGACGCATCCTGTCCACGTGTGTTGCGAGGCTCTCCGACAATTTTGATAATAACTTCATTCGAATTGATCGAGGCAGGACGAGGCAGCGCGCTGCTCGTCTCGCGCTGCCTCTCTTTCTCTCTCTCTCTCTCTCTCTCTCCCTCTCTCTCGCAGCGGGCGGGAGTCGCGAGACCACGATAGTGCCATTTAAGAACCACCCACCAGGCCCCATAAATTTCGCGGTAATTCACGACAATTGCTTCTCCTCTGTAATTCTATTATTTATGCCCGCGATGGCTGAGGCTGACACACTTCGTCCACCCTGCGGATGGTAAAGATATCGATCTGACTTTTCTCGGGGGCGGTCGTTCACCAATTCGAGGTACACTCGAGATATCATCGACATAGTCCGATCCTTTTCTCGCACGTGCTCTTCGCGCGGAAGAGCTTCAGCGAGATTCGGAACAGAACGGTGAACGTGCCTACTATGACCGCATTACAGGGGATGTAAGATTAGCAACGATTTTGTTACAACTGAAAAGTGTTATTGTTGAATATTTACAGTACTGTTCGATCGTTCGTTGTTCCTAGATAACGTCGCGAATTTTTAAATATTTATTTAACCATCGTACGCCGAATGCGGGGTCAATTTGACCCGTTGTGTATCGGTAAAGCGTAATATGTTTATTTGTAAGAAGCATTGAAAAAATACGTTAGATGTACAGAAAACTAAATGGCAATAAAGTGTACGCGCTTCAAAATTTTCCTGTCTTTTAGATGTTCATAATATTAACAGAAAAACTATTTTTAAAGCATCGATTAGTGTGGGTTCAAAAACACCCAGGGGTGGTTTCCTACGTCCTGATGGAAGATCGGCGGTCCGAGGGTTAAACAAATTACTTCGGTTTCGCGGAGTTTTTGAGGATACTGGAACAATGGGGAGAGAGAGAGAAAGAGAGAGAATTGACAAGTTGTCAGAAGCTTCTTCGGGAGACAGTTTCACGGAGATCTAGAAATTGCAACGATACAAATCGAGCAAATGGACTTTTCTGGTCGGTAATCTTCCGATTCATCTCGAACAGGGAAATGCGAGTGGCCTAAGCTATGCGCGTTCCACGTGGGTGATTGGAAGGCGAGCAGCGTGGCGTATCCCAGTCATGGGGGCACCCTTCCGCAGTCGTTACCCCGAGGACACCCCCCGTAGCTTATCGATCTGGTCTCGAGAACTAAGATCCACCGACTGTTCCAGCGGGCCGTGTCGGAGGATGAGTCACGCCTGGCCTATCGTGACACAACCATATTATTTTTATGGTGTTTTCGCGTGGCCACCATGATTCACGAGACCCGAGGCTTTTCCTGCACCCCCCGAGCTCTCTCGGCTAGCCGGCTCCCCTCTCCCTTCCCACCTCTCCCTTTCTATTCCTCTTTCTACGAATCATCAGAAATCCCACAACGATGCCCCATATGGAATCATATAGTTCGCCGCTGCTAATTATTCCGAGCGGTTCGTGTGGTTTCGTTTAATAGGAAACATTTGTTAACACCCCGGAGACCTCGCGGTCCCGGAAGCGGACAGGGGTCGCAGCTTTCGCAGCCGTGGCCGACGATTAGTTGGCCGCTTCGTCTACGAACAAATTGTCGCGTTTCTGAAATGAAACGCTCCGTTGGGAGTATATCATAATAAATCGCGTCGCTCGACGTCGCCGAACCGACGCTTCTTATTCGATGAATTCGCCATTCTTTGTGACGTCATCGACCAATATGCTGTCATTCGTTAATATTAACGAAGTATAGTGGAGAACAACGATGTGTCGTTGAGAAAATGTTATTTTAAGAGTTTTAATAAATAGCAGTTTTATTTCTTAATTTATGTTCATTTTTGAATTTTCGAATTATCAGGTTTCACGATATACATATTTGTATAATACATTAACCCAGGACGCTTAATATGTGGGTGACAGAATTATTTAGCCAGATTTGAAAATTGATTTCTACGCTAAAATCTATTATAATTTCCCGATGTCATCATAAATCACAACATCTAAGAATATTTGAAAAAGTAATCGATATCATACAAGCGTACTTCGCAATTTTAATTCAATTTAACAACGTACATTAATTGCTATGAACATTATTTTTTCTAGATATATATTTGAGGTATATTTATTTATATAATATTGTTAAATACTACATTTAGATACCCGCAAGGATAAAATATAAAAACTTTGTAAAAGAACATTATCAAAAGAAAAATACCTGTTTGAAATTCTGTGGATATTTTTTGACCATCCCTTAAGCATGCTAGGGTTAAACAGTTTTTGGTATCTTTCGCTGAGATAAATACAACTCTTCCAGGCGATACTAAACGAAATAAGGACACATCCAAGGGAGGATCGACAACGCGATTACAGCCATAAGTTTATTTCTAATAGAATATCTGAACTATTCGTTGCATGAGAACATCTCTCCGATGATTCGTTTGCGCTGACAAATTTTTATTACGTATGACAGCGAAACTATCCCCGCTGCTCACCGAGCTGTCCATTGTTTTCGGGAAACAAAAGCCACCGCGCGGTCCGCTAACCTTTTGCCAGAGAATTTCTATCGCAGCATCGATAATTCGTTTTAACAATTTCCTGAACTTCAAAGACAATTTAAATTCGCCGTGCGCCTACGCTTTACTCGTCACAAAGAAATGGAATTTGACTTCGATCCGTACGAACCGAATAGAGAAAATTCTCTCCGATTGTCTCCCAGTTTGTAAACAAAAATAGACAATTTGGGACGTGGAGATACGATTATTCGGGCCTCGCGGATCGTATTTATAGTTGTTGGCAATCGGCGACTCTAAAAATGAGCCGCGAGACTCGAATAGTCGTGTCTCCTCTTCCCGTATTGTCCATTTTCGTTTACAAGCTGAAGGAAAATTAGGGAGAATTTTCTGTAACTCGTGATTCAATAGGAGTACAATTTACGGAATACTAAGTAATTCAATTATCTCAATTACGAATTACGGCGTGATTTAATTAAAATGACGAATTACGGTGTGATTGAATTAAGATTACGAATTACGGTGTAATTGATTTAAAATTGCGAATTAAAAAATAATAACAAGAAATAAGAGCTTGAAAAGAAACCATGCGAAGGTTTCAAACAGGAGGATATTGCTACTGTGTTCCCTATATACAGTTACTGTCGCAAATTAGAAAATACAAGTGAAATTAACATTACATTCGCAAATAACAATTAAATTCTTTATTTAATTGAAGCATCATTGAATGAAAAAGAAAACATGAAAATGCATCTCAGCTCTTGAATGTTGTGAGCTGTAATTTGAAAAACTTTATTTCGATAACAATTGTATTTCAATTACACTCCCGATTAAATGATTAGTAATCGAATTCACTGAAAAGTTTGATTACGTAATTGTATTACAATGTAACTGAATTTCAGCGTAATTAAATTACGTAAATGAATCGCAATGTAATTGAAATACAATTGAATTACAATGTAATTGATTCACAATGAATTGAATTAGCACAATTGCATACTACAAACCATCGAAATGACTTTCCAATTACCGGTCACGAGGATCCCGTTTCGGTTTCTGTGAACAGAGAGAGAGAGAAAGAGAGAGAGAAAGAGAGAGAGAGAGAGAGAGAGTGAAAGGAGGAGAGAGAGAATAAAAGAGAGAGAGAGAGAGAGAGAGTGAAAGGAAGAGAGAGAGAGTGAAAGGAAGTGAGAGAGAGAGTGAAAGAAAGAGAGAGAGAGAGTAAAAGAAAGAGAGAGAGAGAGAGAGAGAGAGAGAAAGAAAGAGAGAGAGAGAGAGAGAGAGAGAAAGAAAGAGAGAGAGAGAGAGAGAGAGAGTGAAAGAAAGAGAGAGAGAGAGAGAGCAACTTGGAAGCTAAGCGACCGAAAAACGTGACGGAATCGAGCGACGCGTGCACACGTGTTCGCCGTCGGGACCAACAAACGAACGAACCAGCGGCATTCGAGATTTATCGATGCATTAAGAACCGCGGAGCTTCTGCGACAACGACAACCTCTCGAACAAAGTGTTCGTCGGGGTTAGGTCTGCTTTATTCACCGCCGCCTCCGTGTATCGTCGCCGGTGCTGCATTCTTTATTTAAGCGCTTTCGAAATTCATACGCAGCCTGCCCGTAGTTCCGACACCGAAATTGATTTTGCCTCCGCTCCGATGTATCCTGGACCGTTCAAAACCCGGCCGTAAACCGTATTAACCTCTACGCCAGGATTTTCGGCGGAACAATCGCTGTATTAGTTAGCAAGTGTGCGCGCTCGGTGTACACCGGCGGTGATTTCTAAAGTTGCGATTCCCTGTTCGATCGCATTCTCAATTCCGTGTCACGAAATTCCTTTGTTAGAAAGCTCTGTCACACACAATTAGGTCGATCCCGTCGAATTTGTTTACGAAACGCCACGTTCTTTCGCAGGTTTAACCGAATGTGGCAACATGTTTGAATTCCAAAAAAGAACGCTACGTAAGAAGCTTCCGTTCGACGGAGGACGACTTCGACCGCTTTAAAAACCTCGCATGAGCGCGTCCCATGGGAACGCTTCGTCTCCGCTTTGTGCTTTGTCCCCGTCGAAGACCCGAATCTGAAACGAAGAGGCGTTCGCTGAAGCAGCACGCTCCAGGCTCGGATATTTCGTATTTTGTCGATGTTATTATCGTTTTAATACTTCGACGGTATAGTTGTCGATCGACATTATTAGAATGCGATGGTTCATGCGAAATTAAAATTGTCCGAGTTAATTGTAAGGGATATAAGTTACATGGAAATGTTTCTTTTTCCTTTTAATAATCGTAATAAGTTGATAATAATGTAACATTATCCTTGAATTTCTCCAATGTCGTTTCAGTTTTGTATTCGACATACGTATTTTTTTTGTCATAAATGCATAAACAAAGCGCATGATTCTTCGATTATGCCTTTGGAGATTGCTAGACTTGAATTCACATTTGGATAGAAATTAATTTGATTAATGATTAACGATTATAATCGTGTTCGTGATTAATAATTACGATTACTATAGATATAGTCCAACAATTATGATTAATAAATAACTTAAGTAATCGAAGCAATTA